TCATGTTCTTGACTCTAGGGCAAACGCAAACGCTAACCACTGCGCCACAGGGCGACTGGCATTGAATGAGATAAAATAATATAAGAATCTGTAAATAGTGGAGTGACAAGACCATCAAAAATTTGAAAATAATGCACCACCCTACCCTACGGCTAATTTTTACCTTTTTTGGAAAGGTATATTATTAAGCAATTATTTTTGTCCGGTCGAAAAAACTCTATGGTCAAAATTTAAAATAATAGGAGGTTAAAGATCAATGATTGAAATCTGACCATAATAATGAACATATTCAAGGAATTTAAGGAATTCATAAATTTTCTCGGATTGTGCAATAAATTTGTATGGAAATTTATTTATACAGTGAAATTATTGATTTCATAGAAAAAGAAGGAAAATTTGAACTATAATGTCCGTCTATCTGTCCGTAAAAATAATTGTCCTGGGGTATTTGATTTAGTGCTAATGTACAGTTTTTTTGTTCATAAAGAATAATCAGGCAATATTAAGACAGGTGCATGTATATATAGTAATTAGGAAATCAGAAAAGCAAAATACTCCCCCCCCCCCTTTCACCCCAACCCCCAAAATACAAAATATGACTAAATGTTGAGATTTGTTGCTTTGAAGTACAAGTTTTATATGAACATTAAACATCAATAATTTTGAATATATTGAACTCTAAAAAGACATTTTCTGTTCCTGAAGCATATTAATCATCTGACGTCATACACGTTAAAGCATAATAATTAACTTTTTTGTTTTGTTTATTATTATAGATTCGCTAAACAACTTAATGAATATGAAAGCAGTTTTATCAAGGGTTCTTTTACTTCGAAATATACAGGTGTATGCTCGGCGCATATGGCATTTGGATATATAGGGCCATTTTAGGGGTCACACCTGTTATCACAAGACAAGAGCCAACTGAGTGATAAAACTCTTGATATTTTTCGTCTCCCTCATACGGTTTGCAAAAAAAAAAAAAAAAAAAAAAAAAAAAAAAAAAAAAAAAAAAAAAGATTCTTGTCTATGTTTCGAAAGGTTAAGATATACTGATGAGATTTCGAATAATCGCTAACTCGTAAATTCTGCCTGTTATATACTCGGTTGTGAGAATTTAGGAGCAGAAAGATTTTGGATTTGTATCGGTGATATAGTAGCAATTCTATGAAACGGGACAAAGAAGGCATTTTTATATTATTGACGATATGATTTGTTAGAGCTGTAATTTCTTTATCTTGTTCACTACTACGCTGCTTTTCAAATGAAACATATCCTTGTAAAGTGAGGTAGACTAGACTAGTCTACCTCACTTTACAAGGATATGTTTCATTTGAAAAGCAGAATAGAAACTTGATTGAGCTCACAAAATGATACTCCCGCTCCAATAGAGGTTTTCCTCGGCGGTCGATCGTGATTCTTTAAGAATATCATCGATATTCATTAGGGGTTTAAGAAGGAACTGCGTTAACAAAATGGATCCCCGTTTGACAAGAATAATGGCAAAGTCCATGTTTTGATATAAGAAATCCCAAATATCTTTCTGGTCAAGACGTAAAATTAAAAGTGCACAACATAACGTTGTAAAAAAAAGATTAAATACATTGTGTGTGAAAATCTAATGAAATTTTATTCAGTTGTATAGGAGGATTCAGAATAAAAGATGGATACTGGGAAACACCGACTCCGATGGAAACCTAAAATAACAGGCGCTTATTATAAGACAGTTTGTATTAAAGATTCTATATGAAATAGCATAAATTTGCAAGAGGAATTGCGGATAAGGGATGTCCACCCCGAGTGTGCCGGATATACTAATCAATCGGTGCCACTGTGCTGGGATTCTATAATTCGTTTTTGGTTACGTATTTTAAAAACGATTAGAATTTCAGATCAAGAAAAATAAAATACTTAGCGTGAAGAAATCCTTAGGTCTAATTTGATCGTAAAACATCGTTTGAATAAATATCTTTAAAATATTTAGGTAAATGTTTGTAATTTATTACATTATGTAACTACGTGGAATGTATTTTGTTGAAACACACAATTCCTTAAAAAACAAACAAAACAAACAATAATATTCATAATTAATTTGACAAAATTTACTAAGATAGCTATAAATATCCTAGCACGTACAAAGATTTACTTTTTTATATTATTCAAATGCTAACTTATGAAAACTTATATCGACAGACACTTTTATTCGCAATTAAAAAAAAGTTTGACTCGAGAAAACTCTACGATCGGGCGAAAATGCATTAGAAGGGATGTCTCTTTTATAGAATATAACTTTCAGCCGTAGGGTATGTAGGTGCATTAAACTCGAAAAATAAGCGTCTTTTCCTAGGTTTGTCACTGCACTTAAAATGATATGATGGAAATTATGAAAGTTTATTGCAATTTTTCTCGATACATTGTTTTTTAATAAGTAAATTTAATAAGTAAATCTATATTTCCCGTAGTATAATGAGGACATGTATCAATTGAAGTTGTTAATTTATTGCATGAAATTTTCTACATTAGGTTTATTTTAAAATTAGGATTGAATAAAAAAAAACTATCCTGAAATGCCAGAAACGAAACTTCGATCATTTCAGTTTTTTTTTCTATATGAACTGTTGTGGTGTACAGTCATGATTGCAAATTTAAAAATGAAAGCATATTTAAGGATGATGGACAGATTGAAATTATATATTTAAATAATGGATTTTGGGATGTTTTAGTATCTTTCCTCATAAATTAATGCTTAAAACGTGTCAAAACCAGTTCACTCTAAATGTTAAATCATAAGGAAATCAAGGTTCCTAATATACTCATGTACTGACCGAACATTTTTATTCTAAGATGCATGTTTTACAAAAATGTGTAATGAAATTGTGGTGTTTTGAAGTTAGAAATTTTGACTTTATAATTTCAAATCTTTACTCAGTGATCAATAAACAAATTTTGCATCCCCACCCCCCCAAAAAAAGAAAACATGAACAATTTTTCGTAACTTATTGGAAAAGTTTTTGAAATTTTGAGTAGAATTGAACCCACAATATTTTTTAACAAAAACTTGCTTTTCATAAAGTATATGGTTAAAAAGGGAAATGATGAATCACTTTTGGCCATGTCTGTAGATTGTGCGACATAAATCATATGCTGAAAGATAATGAAAGAGACTTTATCCTTGGATTCTCATCTTTGCCAAATTCCCTGGCTGTAATTAACTTAATTCTAAAAGCTTGAAAGACTTCAGGAATTGTACAGAAGTCTTACTTCTTTGTTTGATATATACTGTTCGAAAAGAAAAATAAGAAGAACAGAAAAACAAATATTTGTCAGCCTCTATTTCTCCATCGTCTCAAGCCACGGTTCGGAGTCCGCATAAAGCTCTTCTCAGAATGGGAGAAGATCGTATATTTTGGCCGTGGTTTGCGACGATGCTATTTCTTATACATAATCTTAACATGCACTGACCCTGCTTATTGCTGCTAGTCATTGCGCAATACGAAATTTAATTTGTGAACACACGCAGGAGAAGACTGACCTACATTAAGCCCACTGAATTCGCAAGAAAATCCTAATATTTCATGCAGGTGTATTTGAGTACCTTTTTTTATACACTTTTAAAAGGGTAAATTTTACTTGAGGCACGATAGAATTTTCAAATACCAATGAAATATATGGGTAACTTTTGTCCGTCACAGTCTTTTAAATTATAACTTTGATAAATTAGCATTCGTTCAGTAGTTTTTGTGCCCGAGATAATTAGGCAATGGCTTATTATTATTATTTTTTAGATAGAATCGTTAAAAACTTTGCAAATTTTATGGCATCGTATCTGCCTCCAAAAACTCTTTTATTAACCGATTATCGATGAGATGTCGTGATCTTTTTTTTTCTTTCCGAAAATATATACATATTTCTAATATATTATCGTCAACAGATATTAGAAATTCAAACAATCAAAAGACATCGTAAAATTACAGTAAACTTAAAAGTTTTATTGTGTAAAAATTCCACAAAACGTCTCAAATAAACATTTATGAAACATGCCATTCCGGAGCAAGGAATGTGCAGTCCTCGAATCATATTGTACTTTTGGAATTGGAGAAATTTGGAGATCGACGCTTTCCTAGCATGGAGTGTCTCATAATAAGGGAGTATCAAATTGGGAACGTTTCGTAATTACCGTTTGTCGCATACATGTAACTAAGAGACCACAGTGCGTGTGTTTAGCAATTATAATTATTTGATTTCAAAGTTAAAATGTGAAACCATTATTCTCAAATATTTTTTCCCTTAAATATTCTGACTATTAATAAATATTATTTAAATTTTACATTAACACTGAACGTTAAAAAAAAACCGTGTGACTTTGAATTTGCATACGAAAATACGAGTCGGTCTGTGTACGAATTAGCTGTAGGTCGGCTTATTTTAATGAATATTCATGGATAGAGATATATTGATAACGGCAAATGTCAGGAATTAAGCTTTGTGCCCATCAACAAAATGTCTTTGAAATAACTTGAGAGTATTTGTTAACTATGTGCATTTTATTTTCAAACATCGAATCAACACTATTTTCATTATTTTGACTCTGCAAAAATCGCCGCTAGGGTCCCCGTGATTTTACACTGTTGTTATTATAGCCCAAAAGCGGCAGCAATAGCCTGTGGCTATAAATAGCCAACGTCTAAAAAGTCCTAGCCATACGTCTTCATTGTATACACGTTTTCGGTTTTAACAAGAAATCCTTTTACATACTGTTAAAGTGACACCCGAAACTAGCATTTTACATAGGGTGTAGTCGTAAAATAAGTAAAATTTGCACTTCATCACCCTATTATACAAATACGAAAGAAGTCGCTCTAAGGTTCTTGAGAAGATTTTTATTGCAAGGTCTTCTTTCTCCTCTTTTCAGCATTGTCTGTCCCTGTTTAAGACAACATCTGATTTTTTTCATGAAAACCTTAGGTCTAGGGACGTTCAGAGACAAAATTAATGAGTAAAATTTTAAAATTGAGTTCATTTACACACCACAAAAATGACTACAAAATATATATGTACAACATGAGCTCTTTGATATTATGCAAAAGTTCACCTAACCATTTTTGAATATTGTCCTAATGCTTTGATTTTCTTCTTTTTTCCAATTTTCCAGTCTTTAATTAGGGGATGTTCTAACAAAACATTGTCCTTTGCAAGATTTTTTAATCTTTCTTCGCAAAAGAAATTTACCTCTATATCGTCTGCTTCAATGGTGAGTTGGTCAAGATAGCCCTTAGGGCGAACTAACTGAAGGATTGCATCCAAATTACAAAAGAGCAAAATCTGTTTTGGGTACTTTTTGAAGCATGCGTGAAAGGCACATATATAAAGAAAGTTATGCCGAAAAACGCAAACTTCTCTTTCGTTCTTCTCTTTGTTCTCTACATCAGGATCACAGCAAAATGTTGTTGACCACATCGGAACGAGGTTTTGTATCTGTATTCTCTTCACGTATTTTTCAATACTCTCATAACTCGAAAGCATGGCATTTGAGATGTAAAATCCATCTGCAATTTCAGGTCTAAATTCTTCTTCGTCATAATAACCCAAACAAACAAAATATGGGAGCCAAGACCAAATATTTTCACGTTCCATCAGCCTCTCAAAGTGGTTGCTCATTGCTTTCAGTGGACCGACTTCTCTCAATAAAAATTCTGGTATCATTGTGTGATCTAAACCCATTAGCTTAACGACCAGATATGTTCCGATAGGTTCTTGATGAATTCCAGACACTTGTTCCAAGTTTAAAGATTTACAACCGCAATCCCTTTCTGAACACGAATTCTGAAGCAATTTTATCTCTTCCATTAGGGTTTGTCTCTTGTAAGTAGAGATAGAATCAAGCAACAAGCTTTCATTTTCTTTCATGTGAATTACAAGCGCTTTTAATTTACAATTCAAATTGTCCTTTATCTCTGTACGAATCCCAATTACGAACTTCTTATTTTCAATTGTTTGGCTTTGTTCAACAACCTTTTTAATCGTGTTCAATGTATCATGTCTTTCACATGGATTTTCATTCCAAAGCCCACCCCATCCATCAATGAAATTCACACAGTTGAGCTTAAAAACTTTTTCAGAACAAAGATTAGAAAATCTCCTAGAAATGTCTAAGTAATTATGGTATTCGTAACTCATGATATGATTTTTTGCGTATTCTTCAGTAATTTTTTTCCCTGAAGTGGAGACAGAGTTTCCAAGCTGTCCAATGACGTAAAGTATATTCCTTGATTTCAGCTGGTGAATACCATTTCTTACGTACTCCGCTGAAGAAAATTAATCTTATCTTTAATTATAATAAAAACATCTATCACAACCATGAAATGTATATTTTGTTTTTAATTTAAAATGAGAAGTACAATTTTCACTTCAAGTGAAGAAAAATATTTCCTGCCTTAAAATATAGATAAAACAATAAAGAAAAAATGTATACTCTCTTACATTTAGATTTAATACTTACGGTTTTCAATCAGCTTTCCTAATTCGCAATCATCATCTTCAGTTCTGGGAAATCTAGAGGCACCTACAGGAAGGATGTATATGACAAATATTAGAACCTTTAATAAGATTAACTGTCTGTGTTTGAACGCATGGATTTATCTGTACGCCGAGAACTATAATTGCTATACATACGTGCATTACCATACTATCATTTGATTACAAGTGAAAAAGTGAAGGAACAAATTTCTAGCTTTAAAACAGCATTGCCTCCAAAACTGAAGTCCAAATGTCTTAATATAAAAGCTCATGTAATAATTTTCATCATTTTTTGTAATCTCTTGATATCAAAATGAAGTTTAATGACTTTTTCTAAGTAAAAGACCGGTCACGGTAGCTTAGTGATAGGACGCTTGCTTCGTAATCGGGAGGCCCGGGTTATTCTCGTTAGCCGAGCCGCGTCAAACCTAAAAGGTAAACATAGGTAGTGACTGTTCCTTCGCCAAGCGCCCGGCAGTAAAAGTGAATGTCAGGGGTCTTTCGGATGAGACCTTAAAAACCGAGGTCCCGTGTCACGGTAGGCTTTAACAAGATAAAGAACCTTCACTGCTCAATGGCCCCGAGTGCCGAGTATAGGTCAAAATGTGCAGCTCTCCACCGGCAAGTGTTGGCGTCTCCATATGAGTGAAAAATTCTTAGAGAGACTTTAAACAATTAACAAACAAAACATTGATTATTTTCTTATAAAAAAAAATCCGGCACAAAATATAGTACCTCACTTAATGTTTTGGTACGGAATTTAATCTTGGGACTTTAATTAGGCATTGCAGAATCCAAATATATTATTAGAACTAAAATATAATGCTCCATTTTATTAAAGAGAGGTCCGGACAAAAATCTCCTCAAAAGCTCAGGATCGAACCTCTGTAAGGATTACAGATAGCCAATCTTTGGATTTGTTGTTTGAAATACTTCCGCTCGAAAAAAAAAGCTGTTCGAAAATTCCTTTGATTCCTTTTAATTACACTATTTTGGATTGTATACCGTATTTACAATATTTTATGAATCTAAAGATAAATAAACCATTATTTTGAAAGATCTTAAGTATTAATTTGGAATCCATATGCTTTGGAGCATTTTCCTTAGTAGACGTAAAAGATAATTTAAGGATCCTAGAATATTACCAAGAAAATTAACATAATATTAATGAAATTTATGTACAGTTCAAGCAAGGAAGCAGTTCTAATTTTGCAGTCGAAAGAAATGTCTGGTTGATTTGGTGATAATGTATATGTCTTTCCCTGGGGGGTAAGAGGATGTGAGTTATCTAAAGGTATTTTTTTTACTGTTTATATACTTACCATTCGGGGTCTGTCGCCTCCTCTTCAAGACTATACATATAATTACCATGATTACCAATAATATCACCACAATTCCTAATGGTATACTCGTTGATAAGATTATGGCATTGTCCTCGCTTCAAAAAAAAAAAAAAAAACAAAACTTCACTAGTTAAGTCATTTTATAAGGACATTATACAAAAGATACGAAAAATTGTATAACTTATACCGTAAAAATTGAAGAAATGTCTTTCTCTGTTGAAGAACGAAATATGAATATCACTAAAGGTAATCATGCATTACAGTCGGAATGAAAAAAAAAATGAGAGCAACGCAGCTAGGGTAAGGCTGTCCGTAAAATATCCAACTGTTCCAACTGTAGTAACTTCTCTGAACTACCTAGATATGACGTCATAATAACATATAACGTCAAGTCACTGCATACTGGAGCTGACATGACGGGAAAAGTGTTATAACCTTTACATTCCTTTGACATGGCATGTAAAGATTTTTCAGCGTTGTTGTTTGAGTCAAGCGTCTGGGTTGTTCTTTAAGCTTAGGTGTGTTGTTATGATGTTGAACCTTTGCAATTTAATATCGTTATTCCTTTAACTTATATAGGATTCCCATCTAAGTTTTTTCCTTCACTTTCAATGTCCCCGGTATACATATTTTAACGTTTTATCGTAAGATACGATAAATATGGCTAAATAGGGTATGGTTTTAAAAAACCTGGTTGCGGCTAAGATTCGGTCTGTTAATTTCTGAAAGCGAAAATAATTATGAATAAACCTGTTTTTTTTTTCCCGAAAGAAATTAACAAAGATAATAAAGTTTTCAAAAATTATATTCTGATATTCAAAAATTTATTAGAGAACAAAATCAACAACAATATATTTTCATATATATGGTCGCACAAAGTCACTTGCTTGATTTACAGGACCCCCCAGAATTCGGATAAAGCTACAGTTAATCTCTAATACCCCATTTCATAAATAATAAATAAATGATATACATTTCAATTGTATATGTTACCTCGACATACCAAAGATAGTCTGGGAGCGACTAAAAATTGAATAATAAAAAAAATTCCACAAGTCTGGTCTGGACAAAAGTAATGTAAAAATTTTACATCAGTTCACTAGAACCCCAAAACTTCAATTGAACTTCAAGAGTAAACGTTAACGCTAATGACAAATTTCAGATAAAACCTATGTTACCGGGTTCACAAATTAACAAATATTGTTGGTGTTTCAATCCTTTATATATCCAATATTCAATATTCAATATTCAACAGTCTGAAATAAACACAGACATTATTTAACACACAACAACACACACACATATAAAATACACAAAGAGAGATAACTCTTCTTGTTTCTTAATACTCACTATTCAATAAATATTTCAGGCATAAAAACTATTTCTCATATTAGTATAATATTGAGATTATTCCTACAAAAAACTATAATTAACTGTATATGATTTACTTTCTTTGTATATCGTAATTCTTGTAAACTTCAGTGAATAAAATACGACAGCAGATATTCAAATGTAAGTCACTACTATTAATGAAATAGATACGTTTCCCGTTATGTTTCACATAACAATGGAATGTAAATACATAATATACAGACTCACATTACACCTAACATGATACAAACATATACATCACATATCTTACCCAATATATGGTATCAGACCCTTGTTATATATACAGCAATTCAGCTACATGTACATCATATCAAGTGGATCTGAATAATAACAAATATCATAATATACTCTTTACTTATTAATTTATAAAAAAAAATGATTCACACATTCACTTTTACTATTCATCAAATGAATGTATTTATAATATTAAAATCAACTGACCTTCTGTGGATAAATAAAGTCCAAGATCAATATATCACAAGAACTGAATGACCAAACTGATCATTCCAGACTCAATTTGAAAAATAATAATATTAATAGAAACTTCAAGATAAAAATCACATGACTTAAACTTTCAGCCAACCAAAACAAGAATTCAATGATCCATGAAAAACTGACCAGAACTGGTATGGAAATCCATTTCTGACATATTTAAATAGAATGAGAATAAATTTATGGAAAGCTGTTACTGTAAATGATAAATGTTTTAAATTAAATTTATTTTATAATCTGTTAAAATAAATCAACTCACACACTACTACATACTCCCCCTCGTTCAATAAATGACTTCCATGTCATTTCATGCTAATCATCCTGGTAAATGAAAACATTAAACATGATTTCCCTGAATTACATTTTGAAAAAAAATGTTCATATATCAGCAAACATCCATTACGATTCTAAAATGATTTGTAAAATTGCATCGGTAGAATTTGGTGTCTCTTTAATTACACCACTCTTAATTAATTGCACAGCATAATCTGCTTTTTCTCTCCACTCACGATCTTTTGTTATAGAGGATTTCGACACAAATTCACCTGTAGTCATCCACTTTGGCTTTCCTTTCTTTCTGATTGAACGCCTAGGGACTACTTCCTCTTCATCAACTACTTCTGCTGCTTCAACTTCAGTGTCAGTTTTGACTGCAGAATCAATTTCGTCAGCCTCGGCTTCAACTTCAGTGTCAGCTTTGACTGCAGAATCAACTTCCTCAGCCTCGGCTTCATGTAACTCATCATCATCAATATTCCCTTCACCAACATCTGTAGCACTGTCTTCATCTACAACAGTATCTTCAATACTATCTTCAACAGTGTCGTCCATACTCTTTTCAACACCAGTGTTTTCTGTTTCATCTATCTCACCAATTTCTGTATCTGAAGCGCTTCTTTCTAATTCTGTAACAACATCTTCTGTAGAAAACTGAACATCTTTGTCATGACTGGATGAAGTCAGACTATCCTCAGTAACTACAATGACTTCTTCTGAATCATCTTCTTCTGATGAGCTTTCATGAATTATAGCTTTAGATTTTGTTCTAGGCTTTGGAATTGGTCTTGTTTTCCTTTCTGTTTGTGTTGAAATCTTTGTGGAATTAACATTATCCTCCGATATGAATCCGATAGGAAATAAAAGGTTCCTGTGTAGTGTTCTTTCCTTGCCTTGACCATTCTGCTTCTTCACTGTATAAACAGGAATCTCTGGATTAGGCTGTTTTATCACTACATATATATCATCTTCCCATTTATTGGCCAGTTTATGCCTGCCATCAAATGCTACGATCTTTACAAGAACTTTATCACCAGGTTGTACCACTGTTCCTCTGGATCTTAAGTCATATCTGTCTTTTTGTTTCTTCTGCGCTCTCTGTATCTGTTCTGTGGCCACTCTGTATGCTTCCAATAGTCTCTCTCTTAAATCTTGAATATATTTGGTATTAGGTTTTTTATTTTCTTTTCTTGTTAAACCAAATGCGATATCCACTGGTAAATTTGGTTCTCGCCCAAACATGAGGAAATAAGGTGACTCTCTTGTAGATTCATGTTTAGTACAGTTGTAGGCATGTACCATAGTTGCAACATGTGATTTCCAGTTCTGTTTCTTGTTTGCATCTAAAGTTCCAAGCATATTTAATAGAGTGCGATTGAATCTCTCCGTCATGCCATTGCCAATCGGATGATAGGGAGTAGTTCTGGATTTATCAATTCCTGTTAAGTTACATAATTCTTTGATTAAGTTGCTCTCAAAATTTGCCACCTGGTCCGAATGAATTCTTTGTGGTATTCCATAATTTACAATAAAATAGTTGAACAAAGTTTCTGCAGTAATTTTTGCTGTTTGGTTTCTGGTCGGTATAGCTTGCGCATATCTGGTGAAGTGATCTGTTATAACTAAAATGTTTTCATAGCCTCCTTTAGATTTTTCCAGCGAAAGAAAGTCAATACAAACAAGTTCTAGGGGTTGAGTTGTCTGAATGTTCACTAGTGGTGCAATACTAGGTTCCTTTTTCCTCTTGATACACTTTTGACAGTGGCTAATCCAGTTGTCGATGTCAGTTGTCATTCCAGGCCAATAGAATCTGTCACGAATAAGGCTGGTTGTTCTGTCTCGCCCTTGATGGCCCATTTCGTCATGTAATGCTTCTAGTACATTGTTAATATGTAGTGATGGCAGTATAAGCTGTTTCCTCTCTTTATCCTGTACTATTGTTTTCCTGTACAATGTATCATCTTCCAATATAAGCTGATCAAAAAGTTTGAAAAATGGACTATTTGGCATTTGTCCTCGCTTTGGCTTCTTTCCTCTACGTACATGTTCTTTCCAAGCTTTTAGTACTGGATCCTGGTTCTGTATCTCTGACCAATTGACATCATGTCTCATATTCATCTGAAGATCTATCTCAGCTGGGCATAAAGTATTCTGCTCACAAGATATTGTTTCAATATATGGAATGCATATCCTATTACAAATAGATTTGATAGAATCTGCTGATATGTGAGTACTATCTTTTGATGTGGGTAATCTTGATAAACTGTCTGCATCCACATTACTTTTTCCTGGCCTGTATATGATTTCAAAATTGTAGACTCCAAGAGCAGCTAGCCATCTATGTCCCGTAGCATCCAAATTAGCTGTGGTTAACACATAAGTTAATGGGTTGTTATCTGTGACTACCGTAAAGGTGTTTCCGTAGAGATAATCATGGAATTTATCACATAGAGCCCATTTTAACGCCAAGAATTCTAACTTATGTGCGGGATAGTGTTGTTCAGACTTTGATAAACTGCGGCTGGCATATGCAATAACCCTCTTTATCCCATTCTGCTCTTGATATAAAATGGCTCCAAGTCCTGAACTGCTAGCATCAGTGTGAATTTCAAATGGTCGATCATGATCTGGATAACTTAAAATTGGTGATGTTGAAAGTTTCTTCTTTAATGTTTCAAAAGCTGCTTGTTGTTCATTTCCCCAAATCCATTCTTTCTGCTTTACTGGTTTCTTCTTGGTTTTCTTCTTATTGTTGATTGGCATAAGTTCAGTAAGAGGTTTTGAAATTTGGCTGAAGTGTTGAATAAATCTTCGGTAATAACCTGCAAATCCAATGAACTTTCTGACTTCTTCAGGACTAGTTGGAGTAGGCCAATTGATGATCTTTTCAATCTTTTCTGGATCAGTCTCTACACCCTCTTCTGATATAATGTGT